GCTCCTTCTTCATGGCTGGCACTTATGCTAATCTTCCTTGAACTTCTCTATCCATTCATACACACTTCTTCATGACAAAATATTTTCTGCATACTGTGCACAAATTTTTCAATAAATATTTGCACCAGGCACATGCTCAGACCCCAAAAAATGTATCACTGCAAGCTGTTTTTCTTTTGTGCAAATCACAAGTGGGGCAGCCATTTTTTTCTTGTACCACAGTCACAAAGGAATTGGCATAACACGTTCACACCTACATAACAGTTATTGTGAATGTACAGTGCTGATAAAATAGTGCAGCCTACAGAAGTTTTAATGTAAATAAAGTGTGGATAATTTTTGACACGCCCTCATCTGTGTGTTGGTGGGTTTGAACTGCCAACCTTGTGGCTTGCAGTCAAATGCTGATCCTACAGTGCCACATTAAGAGATGGCACTTAACAAAAACAGCAAGTGTGCTAGTAAGAAGCCACTGGTGGTGCAGTAGGTTAGCGTTGGGCTGCCAACTCTTACAAGGTCAGCAGTGCAAATGAACAAGCAGCTCTGCAGGAGAAAGATTAGGCTGTCTGCTGCCATAAAACTTACATTCTCGAAACTCTAAGGAGCAATTCAACTCTGTCCTAAAGGGTTTGCAATGAGTTGGAATCAACTTGGTGGCAGTGGATTGTGATTTTGGCTTTAAGAGTGCTGGTGAACTCAAAGTATGATTTCTCTATCCTCTATTCTCTCTTGAAATCTATAGTTCTTGCTCCATAAAGGTATGGAGGCATTTTTCCTTGGACCATAGCAGCCAAGCAAGCAGTGGATTCTCAATGCCTGTAAATCCCCCTACTTTGCACACACACCACCACAAAACTTGATGTCTTTCTGCTTGCATAAGGCTAAACTTTTCAAGTTTTGAAATATATACATTTATGCTCATTAAGAATATTTTATTCTTGTAAAATAGACATAACAATAAATTGAACAATGCAGTCATCTTTATATTAATTCATTGACATTACTTACAGTCACTATGCAGTTCAATCATCATCACTATCTATTTCTGACTTTTTTAAATCACAGAAACTCAGTATACACTCTGTAACCATCTCCCCCTTTTCCCTCACCCCAGCCCCTGGTAACCACTAATGAACAGTTGTCTTTATGCATTTGCCTCCTCTAGGTACTTTATCTAATTAGGATTAAATATTGTCATTTTGTGTATGACTAATTTCCCTCAGCATAATGTTTTCAAGTTCAATTAACTTGTAGCATTTATCAGACCTTTATTTTTCTATAGGGTTGAACAATATACTCCACTGTATGCATAGAAAATATTTTTACTTGTCCATTCATCTGATAGAGAGCTCTGGTAGCGTAGTGGTTACGAATCGGGCTGCGAACCTCAAGGTCAGCAGTTTGAAACTACCAGCTGTTCCGCAGGAGAAAGATGAGGCTTTCTGCTCCCATAAAGATTTACAGCTTCGGAAACCCTGTACAAGGTTGCTATGAGTAGGAATCGACTCCACGGCACACAGCCACCACCACCTCCATTCATCTGTTGATGAGTAAAAAGAGGTTTCCACCTTTGGACCAGTATAAAGGATACTGCAATCAACAAAGGTGTAAAAATATCTGTCTGAATCCCTGGTTTCATGTCTTTTAGGTATATGCCTAGGGGTGTAATTGCTGGGTAATACAGTAATTATGTTTTTGAGGAACTACCAAAATACTTTCTAGAATGACTGGACCATTTGACATTCCCATTGTTGTTAAATGCAGTCAAGTCAATTCTGACTCATGTGGACCCTGTGTAAGGATTCTGAGGAGTGACTGGCAGATTTGAACTGGCACCTTGTGATTTAAATCGACCTTGAGGTTTAGTGTGTATCCTACAATGCCGCTCCAGGATTAGGGTTGCAATTTCTCTGTATCCTTAAAGCACTTGTTATTTTCTGGTAATAGCCATCTCAATGGGGGTGAAGTGTTATCTCATTGTGGTTTTGATTTGCATTTCTGCAGTGATATTGAGCATATTTTTTGGAGTCCTGGTGGTGGGTTAATAAGCTGGATTGCAAAGTCATTTTGAATGATAAGGTCAGTAGTTCAAGCTCACCAGCCGCTCCTTGGAAACCGTATACAGGGTTGCTATGGGTTGGAACTGACAATGGCACTTAACAACATAACAACATCAACACTGGAATTTTTATGTCTTCTTTGGAGAAACTGCCATTGATCCTTTTTTTTTTTTTTGAATGTCCAAGTCTTTTTATTTTAAATCTTTTTTTAATCTTTAAAAGAAATGATGCATTTATTTCCCCCCATTTTTTAATTGTGAATTGAGTGAAGGTTTACGGAGAAGATCATCAGTTTTACATTCAACAAATCATACACTTAGTTTCATCTCAATGATGCAATCCCCTCCGGCAACAACAGTTATCCTGCTTCCTCCCTGTGGCTGCTATTTCCTGTCAACCCACCATACCATCCATTCTCAACTTTGTCCTATTTCCTTTCTTTTTTTTTT